CTCCGACAAAGGGAGCAGTGGTGGTTCTGTCCAGCAGAGGGGATGACACCCAAACTGGTAGGAGCCCAGAGGTAATCATACCCGACCTGACAGAAGCTTAAGAGTGAGTGCACGAGGTGGTTATAAAAGGCTCCCTACCCCCTAAGAACAAGGTATGTGAACTTTGCGACATCTGGTTTTATCTTGCCTTTGAAAGAATTCTAACTTGAGCTTCGGAGCATTCATACCGGTTTCCCCCCGGAGCTTCCTCATCTTCTCTGTTTCAGGCTCCTTGTAGCTCCGTTCAGAGGCAATGTCGTTGACAGTTAGGACCAGCCGAATTGCGCACCATCAGGTGGCATGTAATTCTTTTAAATTTTTTTATGTTTTTCAATATTATTTATAACTTTCCAGAAGCTATGGAATTTTTAATGTTATTTATAATAAAATAAGTGTTTTTAATATTTTCAAAATAATATTATTTTCATTTTCAAAATGATATTATGTAATTAATTGATTAAATCTTTTAAAAATTACCTCAAGCAAAATTATTTAATTTAACATAATTCAATCTTATATGCATGTGCCCCTTTGCTAGTCTTTCATTTAAAATTCCTCCGAGTCGACTTTAAACATAGAACAAGTGTGAAAAAAAAATGACCATATATGATTGCCTAGAGTGCTCATATAGTGGCTCAACTTGAGAATTATCTTTTAAACCTACCTGTTCATGGAATGCGATGGGGTTGGAGAGGCAACTTTTGGTATAGGTGCAACTTTGATGAGCCCAACCCTAGTCTGAATGATCCAATATGCAATTTTATACGAGTCGAGCTTAGATTTTTTATTATTAGTTTGGGCTTGGGCTTAAAATTTGGGTTTGGCGCCAGCCTAGAGGCCCTAGACTTTAGGTTATTCAAATTTAGTCGGACCCCGATCCAATTATGTACATGCTTTTTTTGGTAAATCATACACATGCATATATGCATACATATACATATACATTTATATCAAATTTTAGTGTAGGATGGTTGACCAATATGGGCTAGGCTTGAATTAGACAGTTTGAACTTGACCTCAGGATCAAGCTAGACTTGGGCCTAGGTTGAACTTAAATTAGGGCTGAAAACAGTATCTAATTATCAAAATTAGAACTTCATCCTATTTAATATATACATATATATATGCTCACATATACTTAAAATTTATACTAAATCTATAGGTAAAGTTGGTTTGGATGTTTTATTTTCACTAAATTGTCATAAGTTCAAGTTTCTTACAAATAATTTTAAATTCATTTAGTTCATAAAATATAGGGAAAATCTATGATACCGGAAAGACATGGTACTGGAAGAGCTTTGACCAATCAAAGAACCCCTCGTGAATTTTGATGAATACCATCTTATTGGTCACCTTTTTATGATACTGGTTGTTTGGCTACAAGTTTTTTTAATATCATAATTGAACCCTAAAATACAATATTAAAATTATTTTAGTTCACTTTATTAATAATATACAATATTTTGATCATTTTAAGTTTAATTTATTTATACTATTTAGTATCCTATTATAATCAGAACTCAATTTGAATCCATTAGATATCCGATGGATATGATCCCCATTCGAATTCAAATATAAACGAATTAAAATCGAGTCTCCTTATATCTGATTCGGTTCGATTAGCACACCTGACTTGCACCCTAAATTTTTGGAAGTTGAGCTTCTTACGTTACTAGAGCAGTCGTTTAGAAAACGAAGTGATGTTAGGGTTATTTAAAATAATAATTTACCGTGAAGCCAAGAAATCACATTGGCTGTTTGGGGAAAAAAACAGCCTGGGCTGTTTTGGGAGCCTCTACACATGATAGTTTAACTAATTCAGATCATTGTTTGTCTTTTCAACTAAAATAATATTGAGTATAAATACTATTTTACCTACATTCATTATGAGATGTCATTCACAGCTAGGGATGAGCAAAAAAAAAATCGAAAAAATCCAACCGATCGAAACTGAACCGAAAAATTGGTTAATCAAACTGATCAATTCAGTTTTAATTAACCAATATAAAAACCGACAATTAATCAAACTGGCCGATATACATATATTTCTATATATTATATATATTTATGTATATTATATATTATATATTTTATATATATTATAAATTAATAAATATGTATTATATATAAATATGTATTTATAATATATGATATATTATTTATTATTTAAAATATAATAGTATATATATATTTATAATTTTTTATTATATTTATAATTATAAAAATTTAAAAACTGAAAAATCGACGAACCGAACTGATGAACTGATTAATCGATTGGTTTTGATTCAGTTTCGATTATCGGTTTTCAAAAAACCTATATTACCACTTCGGTTAAAAAAAGCCCCACGTGATCACCCTGTAAATCACAGCACGCTCCTAATAAAATCCAATCTATTTTTCACAAACAGCCAAAGTTTTTACTAATTGAAAGGATAAGAATTCAAGATCTTTGGAGGTTGCTCTCTACCTCTACGGCTCTACCCCCTGTAAATTGTTAGAGCTGCTCTTCTTGTGTACCCTCCTCCTGTTACGTGCATGGGTGATGGGACCGAGATCGACGTGCGAAACCACATGCAATGGACCTACCACTCAACCTATTAATTAACCGACGTGCACTGTTAGCAAGGGGGTCGTTGAAGTTGGGAATGGGGTGAGTCATTTGTCAGTTGTGGTTTGTTATGGCTGAGGTTCAATTCTGCGATGGCCCCCGTGACCCGATGCCCAAGAACATACACGCGTTTGAAAGAAAAATCAAAACATCACATCAACTGATTTCTCCCTTCAAACACAATGGCGTATTCGAATTTTGGGGTCGCTCCAATGCAGGGACGACGGCCGCAGCGGACGTGAACTCAACTCATTATTCATTAACAATCGTGTCAGTAGCAAGCTGTTTGGTTGTAGCGGGTTTCGATTTTCGTTGAAGTTCCTTGGCTCTTCCCTGAGGTTCCTTCGCTCTTCCACCCATAGGGTCCAAGGCGAAGACGAAGCAGAGCGGGAAGAAGAAAAAACAGGCTGAACAGTACATACAAAGATTGTAAATTATTAGAAAACTAGAGGATTGCGAATTTATTGTAGGGAATTTCCGAGATTGGAAGATTTATGTAAGGATATCAATGGTATTCAAAAATCTGATTTTCAATTTGATATTTAACATAATCGAATTGAAATCGGATAATTTAAATATTTAATCGGTCGAATTCAGATATTCTATTCTTACTGAATAGTTAATCGGATTTGAATTCGGATATGATCTGATTCGATTCAATAAATATCCGAATTCGATCGATTATTTAATTCTTATATATAATATATAAAATATTTTATATAATATATATAATAATTAAGTTATATAAATAATTTATATATTTATATTTTTTATATCAATAATAAATTAATTTTATATATTTATTAATTATCTAAAATAATTAATTAATCGAATTCAAATCAAATTAAATATTTAAATATTTAATCAGATTCAAATTCAAACATTAATTTTCAATATCCGTCAAATATCAAATTTTCTAATCAGATTCGAAGTTGGATATTGCCTGATCTGATTCGAATTTAAATATTGACTGATCCGATTTGAAGTGTCAAGCAAAGAAAAAACCCAAAAGAAAAAAAAAAACGAAAAAGAAAAAGCCCTCTGTCTCTTTTATCTTTATTACGTGGATCATTCTTTAACTATCTACCTATCCCCTTCATCATTAAGAAAACTGAGCGGCTGAGCTAGAAGCTAGTGGAGACTATCTGATCACTGCTTATAAATAAACGACTTACTGGCAAAACATCTGAGATCGATGTAATTCTACGTAGCATAAATGGGTTCAAGGGAAGATCGCCCGGAGATCGTTTTCTTCGATTTGGAGACAACGGTCCCCTCCGAAGCTGATAAAGGCCGTTGCGTATTGGAGTTCGGCGCGATTCTTGTCTGCCCCAAAACACTGAAGGAGCTCGATAGCTACTCTACCTTCGTCAGGCCCGCCAACCTCTCCGTCGTCCCAGATATATCCCGGAAAGGCCTCACCCGAGAAGCGGTCAATTCTGCCCCTACTTTTCAAGAAATCGCCGATAGGGTCTACGACATACTCGACGGTTCATCTCCATTTCTAGCTCCTTCACTCTCTCTAGCTACTATATATGATGCATTTTGCCTTTGTTAATTTTTGATCGTATCATTGGCTTGTAGGTCGAATTTGGGCAGGTCACAATATTGTGAAGTTCGACTGTATTCGCATCCGTGAGGCGTTTGCGGAGATCCGTCGCGTGCCGCCTGAGCCAAAAGCAATTGTTGATTCCTTAACATCATTGAACCGCACATTCAGGAACAGAGCTGGAAACCTTAAGGTACCATTGCTGCCAAATTCCTCTTAATGGTTAGCTCGGTATGAACTATATATTTTCTTGATATATATTAATTATGTAGTTCGAAAGATGACATACCAAAATTGGCTCTCTGCATACAGCTGGAAACTCTGGCAAACCATTTTGGCCTTGGACAGCAGAGGCACAGGTAATTGGGAATCTGGGATGCTCAATTGGAAAGCATTAATTTATAGTCTTAATTAAAGGGAATGCCTTACCTTTTGTTACTCACCGGCCAAACAAGCCCAAAATTGTTGATTTCTCTCCAAAGAAGTCTCCGAATAATCCTTACTGACTTCAATTCAGGAGCTTGGAAGATTCTCGGCTGAATCTGGAGGTTGTCAAGTATTGTGCAGCGGTTTTGTTCTTGGTAAGTCTTTGCATATATCTTAAACCAAAACGCGTCTCTAGTAAAATTAAATCGACGAGGGCGACTTGCCGCAGGAATCAAATACAGTTCAACCAGAAAATTTTCAAATGAGTAGGGCTACTAATGATCAGATGGATATTGATGAACGCCCGGAACCAGATGATGAAGTGGAGGAAATTAGACCAGTTTCCAAGTTCCCTGCTGCAGGAACGCCTTCTACCCCACTAAGAATTTTGTCCAGTGATGATGGCTTCGTAGATCCCTCCGAGGTTTTGCTTGATTGTATCAGTGCATCCTTTGTCCCATACTCGGGAGGCAAGAAAATTCAAGTGCTGCACAGAGATGTGCAATTGCAGCTTTACTGTGCGGGATTAAGAGTGCGATTTGGTATAAGCCGGCAGTTTGCTCCAAAATTGAGTTTCGTGGTAGACCCACCACCCATCCTCTGTGAGGTTCTGGATGTATGCAGTGGTATTGCACAAACAAGACATTTGGACTCTGGCAGCAGCTCTCAGTGGATGCCTACTGTGGAGAGAGAGAGCGAATTCTCAAACTACCCTACCATTCGAGTGCGGTAAGTACCAGTAAATAGCTTTTAGCTTTTTCTTGTGGTGATGGTGACCATATAAATCGGAATCCACAGCTGGAGCTTTATTGCCAACTACTGCAAGTATCCATCTTCATCTAAACTCTTTTTTTTTTTTTTTTTTTTTTTTAAAAAACACACTTTTAGATCTCAAACCCCAATTTTTACATTTTTTCTTTCTTGTTGATTGTTGCTAAATTACTACAGATTAAGGGACAACGATGCTACGGAGATATCCAGGAGAGAAATTTCGGGCAATCTACAGAAAATCCAGTTCAGTGAATTTGAATCCCTACTTGTTCCACGAAGAACTTTGGTGGATGCTTATTTATCCTTGGATACGTATGACTACAAGGGGTTCGCAGGCATCCGTCTAGTGGCCAAAAGGTTGATTATCCATTAATTCCCAGCACTGGGACTGGCTTTGGGTATTCCGCGGTCAGTATGTTGATCACTAACGTTATGTTTGTTTTGAAGGAAAAGGTAAGGAACGTAAGGAATAGGTTTTCCTTTCTTTCCCTACTTTTTCCTTTAAACCAAACAGAGCCTAAGACTGTGAACTCGTATATAAATTCGGTGACTCGTGACTCGACTCAACATCCAACTAGGGGTCCATTGCTGACTTGCTGTATATCAATTATCAAATAAATGTTTATGTAAAAAACGTTATATTATATGCTTATTGCTTTTATTGTTTGGTCGGGTGTTTTACGGTTGTTTCAAGTAACGCCCATTGGGTGGCATGATTTGAACCTGGTCACCCAATGCCAAAATGTACATTAATGTCTACATGCAATAATAAAACATTAATTTATTTTCAACAACTTTAACTATAAATTAAAAGGAATAATATTAAAAATTAGTATTTTATAAATCAATGGATTAAATGATTTAGAAAATCCACATATATATATCTTTATTTTAATACTTAAAATTTATAAATTTGCATTTGATATGTCTTAAAATTTTTATCAATTATTAATTAATATCTTAATTTTTATTAAATATCAATATATTTATTATTTATAAAAATAAAAATATTATTTACAATATATTCGAAAATATAATATAAGTTGAATCTATCAAAAAAATATTTTTTTTAATTTAAAAAATTTATAAAAATAAAAATATTAATAATGGAATAATTATTTTAGTAATTAAAATTTATGAATTTTTATATGATATGCATCTTCAAAATTTTAATCAACCTGATATATTTTAAGTTAATATTATATATTTTTATAATTAATTGATATTTCAATTTACATTTTATAATAACATATTTATTGTTTATAAAACTAAAAATAGTAAAATAGAAAAAATGATATAATAATTCAAATATAATAGTTGCATATGTTTCATGCCTTGCATTTTAATATAAAATAAAATAATAATGACTTTTTATATGTATTAATTTGTAAAAATCTATATAATAGGTGCCTTGGGATCTTGCATATGTTTCGTACCTGTATCAGTATTCAAGTTGTCTAATACAATACCCGATACCTGTATTTGTATAAACTTAAAGTGCACCACATAAGTATTTCGTTTCAATAAATGTTGAGGCATTAGGGGAAGTAAGAATTTGAAGTTTCCCCCAATGCCTCGTACACAAAAAGCAAAGCATTTTTGTTTTTTAGTGTTTTATGCACAATAAACACCAATGCCTATGTGACACTGATGGTGGTGTTTTTTCAATAAACGTCCACATAACCAAACATAGCTATAATGTCCGGAGGAAAGTACCTCAACCGGAGAAGTAGCAGGTGATGGATACCACAAGTATTAACTCAGCAGGTCCCCTAAGAACTAACGTCAAAGTGAAGATGATATTAAGATGATGTGACCTAACTCAAGTCTGGTTTAGAAAACCAAGGTATATGATTACACATAGAGTTCCACTGAAAATCAGCGTGAAGCATCGTTGCCGGCGTTTTAACATGTCGCAAATCACCTTCTGTAGCCAACTCGAGTAATTACAAGGAGTACACCTACCTCACCTCTTCCTTTGATCTGTCATAATACTGCTTCATGTCTATACCACGGGGCATCTTTCTTACTGAATTAGTCACATCTATGATCTCTGCTATGAGTAGACTTATTATCTTTATGAAGTTTGCTAGTTCAATTTGAACATATCTTTTATAGTTTGCTTGTCTAGTTACTCGTTTTAGTTGATCGAGTAATCAATTTATATAGCCTTAGCTTTTTTTAGTTTCTTTTCACACATATAAATTGATTACTGGATCAACTAAAACGAATAGGTGAGAACCGGCAGCTCTCCCACATATGTAGACTCTTTCCCCGCTTAACTGACCAATTCGAGGATATAGTGCAAGGCCTCTATGAACTATGGAACATGGATTCCAGTAGCCTTCTCCTAGCACCTTTCAACAGAGGCCACTTCCGTTAAATTGATTCAATCAGAACAAACGACCCTTGGACCCTCAATGACTAGTGGATCCTTAAGCAACCTTGGGTCCCGGGTCTTCCTCGATATGCCTGGAATATCCATGAAATTGAAATTTGGGTTCAAATACATGACCTCCCTTTTGAAACCCTTTCTGTCAATGTAGGACGTCCTCTCTTCGAACGCATTGGTCCTATCCATCTAGTCTTAGTCATTCATAACTATATTAGGGCCAAAGTCATTATCTCTATTAATCGTCCTCCTCAAACTGGTTCTTTTGTAAGTATTCATAACTGAATTACTTACAGGTATAGATATGAAGACTTCCTTAGAATCTGTTATGCGTGTGGAAGAATTGGTCACCTCTACTGTCAATGTTCTCAACCTCTCCCAAATACCTCAGGACACCCATTTGAGTAGTTTTTTAAAAGGCGAACCATGAACCACCCAAAACCCTAGCTGAGAGCGAAGCAAGCATTGCGACGGTTATGGCGTCGTCCCATTTTCGGTGATTTCGTAAACCTCAACAATCCTACCCCCCTCCCTTTGAAAACCTTCAAGATGAAGCGAACGCTTCCCCACCCCAACAGTCAGCCCACAATAATGAAAATCCACCACCCGCACCACCAATTCCTAACAACCAAGCATCTCCCTCGAGTTCTACCCCCCTCCTTTACGTGTTTCAGCAGAGACTTTTCAGCTGGCAGCAACTACCTAGGATATCTTCAATCATCTTTTTAAGGATGAACCTAGTCCCTCTTCTTCCAGAGGTAAAAGACCCCACATTGACCTCTTATCAAATCTAGAATCTGAACAGCTAACCCCTGATTTACCCACTTACGATAGACCTGAACCATAAGGTACAGTAGACCAAGAAGAGAAAATTGTTTCTATTAATCAAGTAGTTCTAACTAACTTGAACACAGAATCATAGAATCAAGAAGCGGTAAATCTCTCTCTCTATTTTATCTATCTTTTGTTTTACTTTCTATTGGCGGAGGTGGCTGGCCCTTATCAACCCCACCCATTCCAATGATTGTCTTAAGTTGGAACTGCCGTGAGGCTGGGCGTCCCAAGGCGGTTTAGGGTTTACAGGACTTTGTCCACCGTTTAAGCCCAGATTTTATCTTTTTATGTGAAACAAAAATTCCAGATGAAAAATTAAATACTTTAGCTACTAAAATCCGTTATCCTAATCTAGTCACTCTAAATCCTGAAGGAAGAGCAGGAGGTCTAGCAATATTATGGAAAGCTAATTTTTTTGTTACTGCTGAGCTCTCTACCCAAAGGTATGTCTTCCTTAAAATTCATTCCTTAAACAATGATCGGTTCTTGATCTTTATTTACGGACCTTTTGTAAAACATCTTAGAAATAAATTTTGGTCTAAATTGCATAATTTAGATAGTCCTTACATGCTTATAAGAGATTTTAATGAAGCTGCCTCTATTAATTGTTTAGCTCCTTCTACTTCTTATAACTCTTTGAGATTATCCTCCAGACAATATAGAAATATGATAATTGAATAAATATGCTAGAATTAAACTTACAAGGAGGAGACATTTCTTGGACAAATAAAAGATCCATAGGACATATCCAAAGAACCTTGGATAGGGTTGTTGTGCCTCCAAATTGGCTCTCTCTTTTTCCTCATGCAACCCTTTCCTTAGGTTCAAAATGGGGTTCGAGTCATCACCCCCTCTTCCTGAACCTGAACCCAAAACTCCTTAGTCACCCAAAACCTTTCAGATTTTTTGAGATGTGACTATCTGAGTCTTCTTGTATTCAAATCATTGAGGATAGTTGGCAAACTATCATTAATGGACATGCAGCCTATCGAGTTACAAAAAAATTAGATATCCTAAAGCATCATTTAATAAGTTGGAGAAAATCAAAATTCATTGAACCCAGAATTAAAATCCAAAAGTTAGAAGAACAAATTCTCCAACTAGAGCAATTAAACACCTTGGATCAAGAAAATCATTTATACAAGGAGCTAAATCATGCAACAAACCAATTAGAAAGTTTTTGGAGACAAACTTCACGTCAAACTTGGTTGCAATTGGGAGATAAAAATACAAGTTATTTTCACAAGAGTATTCTTTTTAGAAGGAAAAGGAACTGCATAGATGGAATTAAAGATGATCAAAATAACTAGAAAACTGAGCATGCTAATATCACTAAGATTTTTCTTGATTATTTCGCCAATGTTTACTCTTCTCAACCCTGTGAACAGTTGGAAGAACTTTCAAATCTTTTCACTCCAATAATCTCGGAGGAAGAAAATAGCATGCTCATAGCTATCCCTTTAGCTGAGGAAATTAAAGTAGTCCTTTTCAATATTGGAAGTTTAAAATCCCAGGCCCTGATGGTATGCCTGCACTCTTATTTAAGGAATTTTGGGATCTGATGGGACCGGACTTAATTATGTTGGTATAAGAATTTTTTCAAAACAAAAAAAAAATGTTGAAAAGACTAAACCACACTTTCATTTGCCTCATCCCTAAAAAAAGTAGACTACTCTAAGGTCCAAGACTATAGACCTATTAGTCTTTGCAATGTTGCCTATAAAATAATTGCCAAAGTTATAGCTGGTAGGCTTTGTAAAGTCTTAGACAAATGTATCTCACCTAACCAAGAAGCCTTTATTCTTGGCAGATAGATGTCTGACAATTCTTTCATTACCCATGAGATCTTTCACTTTCTCAAACATAAGAAATGAGGAACATGCTACTTAGGTCTAAAACTAGATATGTCAAAAGCTTATGATAGACTAGAGTGGCCTTTTCTCATCCAAATTCTTTTTGGGTTTTACCCCAAATTTCTATCAACTAATCACAGAGTGCATCTCAACTGTTTCGTACCCAGTCCTTATCAATGGTACCTTAGAAGGACATTTTCATCCTTCTAAAGGTTTAAGACAAGGAGATCCCTTATCTCCTTATCTTTTCATTCTAGCAATGGAGAGATTTTCAAGACTCCTCCACCAAACTGAACTAGAGGGAAAAATCCAAGGTATACCCATATCAAGATTTTCACCCAAAATTTCTCACATTTTTTTTGCGGATGATATTATGATTTTCATTAGAGCCCATAGAATTGAAATAGATAACCTGATCCAAATCATCAATAAATTCCAAGCCCTCTCAGGTCAACTAGTCAACATAGACAAATCCGGTTTATATTGCAGCAAAAATATCCATCCCCGACTCCAAAGATTAATCTCTAGTCAATTAAAAATCAGATCCCTCCACAAAGATTCAAAATATCTAGGACTTCTCATTTTTTGGAATAAAAATAAGCACTCTAAATTAACCTTTATCCTAGATTATCTAAAACCAAAACTAAATTCCTGGAGGGCCTTAGCCATAAGTCAGGCAGGGAAACAAGTTTTAATCCAATCAGTACTTCACTCCATCCCAATTCATGCCATGACTTTAACAAAATTCCCCAAAAAAACCATAGATCAAATGGAAAAAATAATAAAAAATTTCTGGTGGGGAACTTCCCCTTCTAAACCTAATCCTTTCCATTGGTGTTCTTGGAATACTTTAATGTTACCCAAATTCCAAGGAGGCTTAGGCTTTAGGAATCTTCAATTAACAAACAAAGCTCTCATAAAAAAAACAGCTTGGAGATTCTTGAATGAACAAGATAAATTATGGGCCCAACTATGGAAATCTAAATATCTCAAATCAAAAAATTCTCCCCCTACTCCATCACATCTTCAAGTTCTTTCTTCTAGAAATCTATGGCACCTTCCCTAGTCAAGCTTTCTTCTGAATGTGGAGCTATAGTTAAAGAGCTTTCTAATTTCCCAATTGATCAAAGACCTTGGACACAAAATCAGCATCATTTTCTTGGTTAGCTTTTCCGTTAGCTCCAAGTCTCAAAAATATGAATATAGATCAGCTTATCTACCAGGGTCATTGGAATAGGGACTTACTTCAAACTCTTTTTAACTCAGAAGAAGCATCTAAAATTTTAAAGACTCCCATTTTCTCAGAATCCTACTCCAATGATTGGATCTGGACTCATCATAACTCAGGCAAATTCACAGTAAAAGAAAGCTACAAACTAAATTTCTGAGATATGGATACTCAGATTGATCCAAACCTGTTCTTCTATTTTAAAAAACTATGGAAATTGAAAATAGCACCTCATTTTCAACTATTTTTCTGGAGAGTGTTAAATAATTCCATCCCTATTAAAGATAAACTTTTTCATGATAATCAACTTAAAACTTGTTCTTTTTTTGTGGCCTACAAGCTGAAAACATAAACCATCCGTTCATGGATTGTACTTACAGTTGAGTAATTTTATTTGCCAATCCTTGGAATATCCAGTTTCATTTTCTTTATCAAGGATCATGGAGTAACTGTATTAAAAACTTATATAATCAGATCCGAGATAACTCATTATTCATGAACATTCTCAATTGGGTAGCTACAGCCTCCTACTACATTTGGTATGCTCGAAATGAATTGATATTTAACAAAAAACTCATTCACCCAACCACCCTTCTCCTGAAAATTACCAGCTCTTATCAGATAGCTTAATACAAAAGTACAAAGAATCCTAACAGAGATTTGCATACAATGAATAAAATCCCTCTTAATATATCTCGTTCAGTAGATCTCATTACTTTTACTGATGCAGGTAAAATCTCATATTCTCTTTACTCCTATGGTGCTGTATTTATCTCCACTAACTTATCCTATATTCGAACAATTGGAGGAAGAATTCATCTGTTTTGGAAGCTGAATCATTTGCTGTTTTGCAGGCATTATCAAATATTTCGCAATGGGATGTAAATGAAGTATGTATATATTTGGATGCTCAACAAGTTATAGAAGCTCTTAATCAGAAGAGTACTCTTGATTGGTCCTGCCATTGGTTCTTGTCGAGGATCAGTTCTTTAGCTTCTAAATATAGACACATATACTTTAACTATGTAAATAGGAAATATAACTACTCAGCCCACAAGGTATCCCATCTAGCTAAACACTATTGTACTTCATTTTTTTGTCTAACTATCAGGAAGGGATACCTAAAGTGGAAGACTTTGTATCTTTTTGTTTTGTTTGAATATAAGGAATCCTTCAAAAAAAAAAAAAACCAAACATAACTACATGTTTTAATGATGCTTTTCTTGAGAAACTAGAAAAGTTGTTGAAAAAACGTTTATTAGAGTTTTATGACAGTCACAAGTAAAAACTTTTCTTGGAACAAATGGCTATCACATAATCCTAGAAAAAACATTTTTTTTGATAAATAATTTAACTAAACAAAATTTTAGGATCTGTTGGGGGGAAACGCCTATCTGATGCCCAGATAGCATGGGAATGAAACAAACATCATCTAAGGAGGTGTTTGACAATATAATTACTGGTTTTGTTTTTGAAAACAAAAATAACTACCACACCAGCAAACTAATGTTTTCAATTGCCATTGACTCGGACAATTAGACCGTTTAGCCTGGGAACCGTCTAGGCAATCGGTTCCATTTTACCCTAAGCCCAGCCTCTGGAAAAAAACTGTTGAATTGGTCAACGATTCATTGACTCAGGTGGTTGATCCATCGACCCGTTCGACCTATTCAACAATTTTTTTTTTTTTTTTTTTGTCAGAATAGGCTGTCGTTCAAACTGGACCACAGGAAACCGATGGCCAAAACTATTCCGATTCCATATTGATTTTTAAAACATTGCAGCAAACAATATAATTTTATTAATGCGGTAGCAAACAATATAACAATATAATTTCTACTGCAGAGCTATAAACATTCAAAATGTCAACAGCCCACCTTCTATGCACCAAAACTCGCCCATGAATTGGCATCAATTCTGAACTGACACCTATCCCAACTATAACATGAATGTGGTTTGATAACAACTAAAGCCGCTGAACTGAACGAATTATTTCTTCTTTTAGTGAATAAATTATTAAAAGAAGTTGTGACTTGTGAGCTCCTTAACAACTTATTGCATTGATTACTGTATGATGCACAAAATGCAAGTAACCTGTTAGATCCGGCTGAAATTTTCAGTTTTTCAGCTCAAATGGTTTAACATGTATATGGTGGAATTGGAAAATTAATTGCAATCACATTCCGAAATTTGTGTCCACTTTATACCAGAGTAAAATTCAACAAAATGCAAAATCGAACTGATAGGAGGGGGGTTCCAATTTATCTATAATTTAAGTGGTATTGGGGTCTATTGAACCCAATACAACTGCGTTCCAAGTCCACTCGATTTCAATTGAGACATCGAGTCAAATAAACTTTGTTGGGAAAAAGTTGGTTTGGTTGAAGGTGTGGTTGATACCAGAATCCAATCAACTCCACATGTCTGCTTATGAGCTTTTGATAAGATCTTGATGTCATATCTATATCAGTTTGTGGTTCTCTTATTTCAAATGTAGGATGACCACATGGCATATGTTCTGTGGCTCTGTGCTCTGCTCCCTGATCTCATTGCAAATTATTCTGCAGAGAGATATAAACTGAGTTTCTCGAATGGAATTTGTTTGAAGGCATTTAAAAAGAAGGCGCTTTAGTTTATCTCTCTGCTACTTCCCTTTAATTAGAGGAAAAAATAAAAAATAAAACTTAATTCTATATTTATATTTATTTTCTTTTTGTAAATTTCTTTCCTCTTTCTTTATTATTTATTAGTTGGGACTAATGTGATGTCCAGGATTTGTTAAATGAAATTAACAAAGAGCCTTATGATGTTTGAAAAGCCTTTCATGAACATACAAAAAAAAAAAACCAAAGAGGATACCCTATTGATAATTTATGGCCTTCAAAAAATTTAAAGCTAATTAAGCTCAGAAATTAGAGATAAGAAACCATGCATGCTTTTTCCCTATGAATTTATGATAGAGATAAGCTCATGTAGAGATATATTCACCCCTAAAACTTATTTTTGTTGGATATGATGAATGCATTATACCATGAACATGGTCAATATTTTATGTAAGATTTTGTATATCATCGTCGTTGTCACCGTCATCATCATCATCATAATCAGTGTTTTCGAGTCATTGTTAAGCCGAACAGTCAAACTGTTTTTTAGCAAAATATCGTTGACTTGGTTATTAGCAACTTGCTGATTTGAGCAGTCAAACCATTGACATTGGACAATGGTTTTTGGCCGTTTTTATTTTAATTACTTTTTTAATTTAGAGCAGGCCATTCATTTGAACTGAACATCAAATCGTTGACTCAAAAACTAGTGGCCAAACAAGTTCTGGTTCTGGGTCCATTTTTAAAACATTACTTGTAATAATTTACTTCTTCTAAATGGAGCTGTTGGTGATCTTTCTATTCATGTGACCAACCTTCCTAGTTTACTCAAAGGTTTCTATGATGTATTCGTTCCTAATCTTATATTTTTTAGTTTTTCCACTCATCCATCTTAATATTTACATTTATGCCATACTTATTTTTTGAATATATCTTCTGAATGCCTAATACTCTATCTCATGCATACAACTATCCTTCAAGTATTTTATAGAATTTTCTTTTTAATTAATCTAAGAGGTATTCTCATATCACGCAAAAGTATAGGTGTATATACATGCATGTATATCTATTTTATATTTTCATTATGTTATTTAGGAGTGCTAAATTGGAATTGGAATAAGGGAGAAAGAAGAGGCCAGGCTTGTCCTGCATTATGGTCGGGCTTGCAAGATAAGCTCTTGCTTTGGCCCGGCTTTTCTCTGCTCAGTGGTCAGTGCTCCCACCCCGTTCTCAAGGTCAAGACAAAGCAAAAGAACATGAAACACAGTAACAGTAGTCGTGGCACAAGCTGGACCATCCTTCCCAAGGCTTCGCCTTATCCTTTCGAAAAGGAATGTGCGTCGTAATCTCGATCGACCGCCAATACGAAATAACTCCTCTACAAAACCTCAGCAAGTCCAATGGAGCCCGTATGTTCCATTCCCACGCCAGCCATCAACATCAACCACACATACTGATCGCCGATTGCCATTTCTCTCTCTCTCTCTCTCTCTCTCTGAGTTGCTGCTGCTTCTGCAAAAATTGAATCAAAGAAAAATGTGTGAGGTTTCAAGTCAACTCGTTCCTTGCCGGCGGAGTTTGGTATTTCCAGGTAGTGGTCGTGTAACATTGTCTCCGCGAAGTTGGGGTAGTTTTAAAGACTTGAATGTCTCTCATGGCTGTGGTGCGAATTGTGAACAGGTGCTCATGTTAGGAAAGGGGGATGGAAAAGACAGGTGGGTATGGTTCCAAAGTGGCAATGTCATGTCGCTATGACCTCCAAAACTCAATTCTCCATCATGAATCAGATTAAGCCTTCTAACTACTCTTCCAGAATTACTACTGACATCCCCCTCTATGAGTCTCCAGGGGTACTACTACTCCCCGCCCCCTTCTCCTCTCTCTGAAACTGAAAGTTGCTCTTAGTTCCTTCAATCAATTTCACATTGGAATATTGAAAATTACTCTCAATTGGCAGGCTTCTTTTGATCAATACCTGAATGATCGGAATAGAGTGTTCCAAGCAATATTTCCGGAAAAACGAAGAAGCCAGAGGTTGAATGAGGTAAGACTTATTCAATTCATCTTATTCATTTGAAAGTTCCACTATATATCATTTTGGCATGCCACAGAGGTAGAACTTTTTTTTTTTATCACAAAGGTAGGATCTTATCTATGGAAATTCTTACTGTCACGATTTGACCTCTTCCCTTTGAGATTGTGAATATTGTTTTTACTTTTCTTTAGTAAAGTTGCGAAAATGTCCATTAAATAACTTTTTTTTTTGGTATAGCAGTGAAATAAAAAAGATGTATATTGAAGAACAGAACTGATCAGTGAAAGAAGCAGAGCTACTTGCATTGATCACACGAAAACTGGTTCCCGAAGGAACATTATTTATGTGTACCAGTAAGTCTCGCTCTTTCTGTATCCTAAATGGTTATGGTGGATGTATGCAGGAGGAGTGGAGAATTCAGATGTTGCCTATACAGTTCCTTTTTCTGACAGTTTGGCCAGTAATTGACATGAGGTTGAGATGCAAATCTGAAGGGAAAGGTTACCCACCTGGAGTTCCTGTCGATGTCACCAGGGTCCTTGAGCTTGATGTTGTAAGTCTTACTTCTACGTGATAATGACCAATATAAAATGGCTTTAAGTGTTGATTAATTATGCAACAGAAGAGTGAACCATAGCATATTAATCCCTGAAAAGCTGTAAATTTTGCAGACAAGATGGGAGCTCCAAGGTCTTGACAGTGCTGCCCAGCCATCTGATTTTACGCTTGGAGTGAGAGGAGCTCTTTATCCTGATAGGCGGGGATTGCGGACACGACTTAAAGGTCAGTTGGAGATGGACATTAATTTTGTTCTTCCCCCCATGCTTGCTTTGATCCCAGAAGATGTTCGTAGAAGTGTTGCAGAATCGGTTAGTTCATTAAAATCAATACATGATATTTAATTTCTTGGCGTTTTCCATTTTATATGAGGCTGCTAAACAGTCAAACAGAGAAGCAAACATATTGAAGTGCCTAGGATTTGTTCCGAATTTTGCTGATGTATGTGCATGCCTCTACAGGTGCTGAAGAGGTTGGTGGAGAACATGAAACATAAAGTGAATGGTAGTTTGCTTTCGGATTTCAGTGAATTCAAGAGGGAGAGGGCCGAGATTCTTCGTAGTTGATCACTTGATCCTGCTTTTTCTTCTGCTCAACTGGATGGCTTTGTGTTTTATGTGACCCCGGTTTTAAATTTAAGAAGAAAGAGAATGCGAAATGGACAAAAGAGGAAACAGGTCCTACCAGAAGAACCTCATCTTCGTAAAGAACGTCCTCATTTTCTTTAACAATTCATTCATTCATTTATTTATTTTTTGAGTTGACTGGGATTTGTTACTTATATGTGCTGTAAAATTTTAATATTTTGAAAACACAAAGTCAATTGCTATATTTCCCATGCGACCCTCTTCTGAGCAACCTCCCCAACTGTTTTTAGAGTGTATAAAAGATTTAGCTTGACTGAACATTCAATCTTTGACATTAATTTTGATTTGCAACAAAAAGCTTTTAGCCTTTTACACTGGTCTTCAGACTTCCAGTATGCAGACATTTTGTCTAGCTGAATATATCTACCAGGAAACAGATGCATTAGACTCTATTTCTGGATTATCACCCAATTTTTGGTTCAGATCAGATTTAATGAATTCCTTGCAATTTATAAAATGGATTTGACTTGTATCTTGTTCTCCTTTGTAGAGCTTGTCGCTACATATTGCTGAGTTTTGAATTTTCATGCTTTCTCTTCAAAAGAGTATTGGAATTCATTATTTCCGAGACTTATTAGGAGGGATGGAATATGCAGTATCTGTTTTGCTTTGTTGCATTTTCACTAGAGTATAATCTTGAGTTTAAATTGCTTGTACGTTTTTAGTAGCACTAAGCTAGTTGTGATACAATAATGAAACTATCAAGTGTTGACTTGAACTTCACTAAAGGCGGACTGGATAGGACCTAACCTTCAGGCTTCAGCATTTTGTTGAAGGACGTGCTCCCAGACTTGAGCCCCCATTCTCACACTTGTCAGCCCATGATTTTACCATTACATTAAGCATTTGTTGAATAAATGCACAACTTCATGAATAGATCATTTTCTACCTTACTACTCTTGAATTACTGGTAGTAGAGTTTCCAATTGAAGCAACAAATGATTCAGAATATTCCAATCCTAAATAGTTCTACCCTAGGTATATTTGACTGACCTTGGTAAACTCAGGACGGCACTATTTACTGATCAGTTTCGGTGAACATTTTTCTGGGTATGAGAACAATAAAGGAGAGAGAGAGAGAGACGATTGTGAATAATGGTCGAATTGAATTATTCGACTTTCATTACTGATATTTATAGAGTACAAGGATACGTAAGTCTTATCTGATTAGGATAGATTAGATGAAATCCTAATTAGGATAAAGCTTATCTTACTAGGATAAGTTTATCCTTTATAAAGATAATCTGCAGAGATAAGGATTATCTACAAGAGGGAGAAGTACAGTAGGATAAGTATTTACAGTACAAGATGAAGTGGGAGTCTACATGGTGAAGGAGGAGTTGGAGGAGTTCCACGTGCATGTACACTGGGATACATGATTACATGTTGGCACCTCTTACCCAACTTATGAAACCTGTACTGGTTGGGGTGGTCTAGCCAGTTGATCCATGACCAGTCTGAAACTTGGATTTTGAAACACCCAGTTCTACAAAATGCTCAATTTCGTTCGAACTTATACCAGTAACCATATTAATGTGTTATACTTGTGATATTTATTCTTTAATTTTTAGTTTGGCATAGTTTAGAATTTATAAGCTTCAACATTTTTTGATTTTATAATTTTCACATTCTTTCCTTTGAACAGGTTGAGCAGTCAGCCTAGATAATTGGGCTGGTCAACCCACGATCAAAGCATGCTCATACCATGAGTTTGATTTTTTTCCATACTATTTTGTCTCTTTTATTACCTCTAAGCCCAAGTGAGCAATAGGTGGTTCTCCAAAGAACTAGTTAAGTAGTTAAAAAACAGAGGATTGCTCTGGCTACAATTCTATGTATAGTAGAGATGGGATCTAGTGTTGGATAAATAAAGAGTGGTTTTCCCCACAAATAAAGGAGCAAAGCTTGCAATTTACTTGGTTTTTCAACTTTATTTCCTAAAAATGCACCAAGAGGTTATAGTTGGAGCTCTGTCATACCTTCTCTTGGCAAACAATTGATTTCATGGTCTAATTCTTTAACCTTTCTAGGGTTCTTAATTTTTCACCAACTGCTGTTTTCTGTACGGTTATCCATTTTTTGGTAATGTCAAATTTATAAATGGATGAGGCAGATGACTGGTGCGTATAAGAGTTTTCATTTTAGTCTCTTGTTACTAGGCTGTGGAAATGAATTATGGCTTCTATTTATGAGTTGTACTTGTTAGGGTCACTGATTTTTTGTTTTAGTTAATCTATACTTTAGGCTCTGATTGTTTACTGTGTAAATCTTTAGATTTGCATCATTTATTTGTGGTACTCCTACCTGATGCAAAATTTGCAATTTTTGTCTCATTTGCAATCATTTATTCCAAAAAACTGATGCAAACTTTGCACGGCACCTTTCTCATATTCAATATGCAAAATTTTTTACAACGGAGTTTATTTTGATCGAAACTCCATTTTAAAAAATGGTTTGCCAAATTAACCCGGGGGGAGGTGGGGTTGACACATCAATTACTAACTTCAAATCATTTTAATAACCTAACTTCTTGAAAACTGATACGTATTTATGTTGTGATATTTTGAACCTTGTTTGGACCACATTGCTTTTGCCTCCTCTCTTTCATACGAAGTGGAGATCCCATCATTTTACTCACAAAGTCAAAGAACTGTGCAAAAACAAAACCTAGCAAATTGTCTTGATCAAGTAAAACAGAACTGTGCCAACATAATGGTTAATCTTAATCTTTATCATCCACCTTTGAATTGTTCCTATGGATGAATCTATTTACCCTACTGCTGCTACACTTAAAATGTTGAAACCCCATGTTGAGATTCATAGAAGACAAGCACTTATCTTCAGTACACATTTAAGATTTAACAAAACAAAAATGAATACAATTTACTGACTAATACGCCTTTTAACTGTAACTGACGTCTCTCCCAAATCCTTTCCCTAATCCCTCATTTATCTCCTCTCTCAATTGCTCCCCACATCCACAAATCTGCAGCATATATCATCTATATCAGATTTAATTCTTGCTAACCAGTGACCACTGATCAGTTGCCCCAACTCTAGAGTCTAGATCAAGATCACTATGGGGTATCACCCTGTTACTTTATCGATGGTTCCTTTCTTGGATGTTGAGGGAAGTAACGGATAATACCTAGAGTACCATAATTGTGAAGAGATTCGGCTACTAGCTAGGTCCTAGGATTCTAAATGGGCTTTTGGCAACAATGGCTGTATCTCATCCCGTCACATGTCTGGGCCTCCTCATTCAACATTCATTCTTCTTGATAGAGAATCCAGAATGAGTACTTTCTACTTCTACTAAAAGTATGGGCTAGCTTTTGTTATTGGGTTTTTAAATCCAATACTTTCCTCCGGGCTTGGGCCTCTTACGGTATTACCCATTTAGCCAAAAAGGTCGGCCACGTCGGTGTCTCGATATCCTTCACAATCCTCTCGTGAAGCAACCTCGAAAGCGAGAAAGCTATATATACGCAAGTAACGTTTTGGTAGGTCCCTGAATCCCTGCATAATATCAATTCCTCTGTTTGCTTGTTTTCCTGATTTGAAATTATCTCCATCTCTGAGTTGGGGCTCAGAAATCATTTCCACAGTCAATTCAAATGGATACGAGTGAAGACCGTTCGGAGATTGCATTCTTCGACGTGGAAACGACGATTCCTTTTCGTCCCAATCAGGGCTATGCTCTGTTGGAGTTCGGAGCAATTCTGATATGTCCTCGGAAGCTGGTTGAGCGGGACAGCTACTCTACCCTGGTCAGGCCCGCCGACCTCTCCTCCATAACCGGCGCCTCCGTCAGGTGTAACGGCATCACCCGAGACGCTGTTGCTTCTGCACCTACTTTTCGAGAAGTCGCCGATAGGGTCTACGACATCCTCCATGGTTAATTTCTCTCTAGCTCGTTTGCTTTCTATTTTGAGGTTCTCTGTGTGTATCTGCTTTTGTTTTTGAACAATTATTGGCTTATAGGTCGAATTTGGGCGGGTCACAATATTGTGAAGTTTGACTGTGCTCGGATTCGGGAGGCGTTCGCGGAGATCGGTCGCCCTGCGCCGGAGCCGAAAGGAACTATTGATTCCTTGACATTGTTGACGCAGAGGTTCGGGAGGAGAGCTGGAGATATGAAGGTGCCAAACTCCTCTTTAGTCTTTATTTCTGTTGATGGATCTAAGATTCTTCCATTCCTTTTCCGTCTTTTGTAAAAGTGATATAATCTTACTGTATCTCTTACTTGCAAGGCTGCTTTTCCATCCATATTACCTGATGAGTTTTACCAATACAAATCATAGTTGATGCATCAAGTGCTCGAGTTCCGAATTTTGAAATTTATAAATTTCATGATATTCTTATTTTACTTGTAATTCTGCACGTATGTTCTCTATGTTCTTTTATGTTCTCTTGCTTGGTTTCTTTGGGCTCAAAAAATATTAGATGGGACCTAATTACAAGCTACCCTTTTCTTAAAGGTCACTTGATGCTCCATCTTCCTGCCATTTCTTTTAGGGCCTATCTTTCTATTATTCTCTCTATTACATCTTATTAGTTTTGTCTGTTTAATTGTAAAATGAATAACGAATTTTTTAATTAAGCGAACTTACTTCATTGGTTTTCATTTCAATTGGCTCTCTAGTGTTATACCGCCTTGTACAGAAAGTTTGTTTTCATGTGCAATGATTTCTTTCAAGCTACATGCTATTTAAAGGATGTTTACATTATTAAATTTTGTATTATGCAAACTTTTGAATTCCAACGTATGTGTCTTGTTTTACACAGATGGCCACCCTTGCAACCTATTTTGGGCTTGGACAACAAAAGCATAGGTAATTCATTGCTCTTTTTGCCTTTTTAATTAATTAATTTTTTTTTTTTTTACTTAATTTGTTCCATTCCCATCTTCTATATCAGTAGAATGGTGAATTACTCTATTCAATTTTGTTTCCTCATTTTGGGGCTAGATCTTATGTTTGGCTTTGCAGTCCATCACTAACTAATCATTTAATTTTTGCATTTACCATATTTCGAAGAATTGGCAAACTCAACTTGTTTACAGTTGGATTCGTAACATCATTCTAGTTACTTGACTTAGATTTATTTTAGTAGACCATTCATCTAAAAGGAAACTATCTAGGTTTATCTTTTCAAGATTATACTATGTCCACTTTGGTCGCATACCCTGTGTTGTTTTGGATTCTTTTTATTTGTCCCAATTAACTACCACTTGGCACGATCCTTTTTATTGGAAAAGGAAAACTCAATATGATACCATGGCTGAATGTTCCCTTCCAAAATGCCCATTCCCATTTCACATAAACAATCTTTTATTAATATACTGTTCATTCATGAATTTCAAATTTTGTTATTTTTTAATATTTTATTTCTTCATAATAATACAATCAAGGAATATTGGCTTGAGCAGGGTGACGTGTTTCCATATTAAGTTCTTGTGCTGGCTGAATTGCACCCTTAAACCAACACCATCTACCTAGCATCCTCAACATGCACCATTGCTGTAGGTTCTTATAGGTCCCCCAAAATTTTTTCATATGCAGATTATCATGATTGAATCCACTTGTGTGCATCTTTCTTCTTTCCTTTAGTAAGTTCTGCTTGCTGATAAAAGAAATGCTTTTCCTGTCAAAGCCATTTGTCAGTGCTCTTGTTTTAATTGTACCCAACGAGGAAGAGAGTGTCATCTAGGAAGCTCCTTTTAAGACCCTACACCTATTTCTGCGATGTAGAATCCTTGGCCAATCCATACTGTCCATTAGATAAGGGGTCCTTTGGATTGACATGTGTTGACTCTTGCAGTCCATGTTATCATACCCAACCTTTTATCAGGGCTTTCCATAGCTACTTAACTTTCAATCGTGTAATTTTATAGTTTCCCACAGAAGGACTTATTTTGAATGCATAATAAACTGTTTTAGGCTGAAATTTGATTCCAAGGCGGGGGGGGGGGGGGGGGGGGGGAGAGGAGAACATGGGGAGTCCTTTTCTGCCCCAAAGTAAGTTGCCATATGAAAGATTCCTATGCCATTTCAGACTTCTCCTGTAATCAGCTCAACTATAAGACCAGTTCTTCATCTGCTAAACCCATGTAATCATCAAAATACTTGTAGATGCTTCTGAATTGGCTTGGAAACTTCTAGGCTTTTCAGATATAGTTTCTTACTTCCTTATGTTATAAGCTCAAACATTGAGTTGTTGAAAGCTAACTACTTTCTCTAATGGCTTTTAGGAGCTTAGACGATGTTCGGATGAATCTTGAAGTTCTCAAGTACTGTGCAACAGTTTTATTCCTGGTAATCTTATAACCTTTGCAAGTTGAAACTCTATTTACAATGATGTAGATACCTCTAAATTCTAAGTTTTTATTCATATTTGATGAACTAAATATCTGATTTGCCTACTTCAATCCTTCTATAGAGTAGGATGTGAAATAAAATGTGATTAGCCAATCCCAAATAGTTGCCACAAGGGTTTATTTAGTTGACCTGAGTTAAGTATCTGATGCTGCAAAATGGATATTTATAAATCGCTGATTTCTGTATATTTCAAATCTCATTGTGAATTGCCTATGTTGGTCTATACTATGTGCTTTGCAGAAACTTAAAAATGTCACCTAGAGCCAGAGATTTACTTCATGTGTCCCACAGTATTGATTCTCCTTTAGCAATTTCAATTCATATGTTATAATTCTTTCCGCCATTCTGGGTTTAAGGTTTAAATGGAAATCGCCCTCTGCTATTTATGACCCCCATTTCATACGCTTTATACTTATTATATATACTTATGATTTATACTTATCATATGATAGATTAACTCCAAGTCTTGAGCCAAGGTCCTCACCTTATTATCTTGCTTTTTGAAACAGCTAAGCTATCAGTTCTTTCATATTAATTTCCTGATCTTTTTTTTTGTTTCTGCTGGCGGATGCACCGGTTATGCCTTTGTATTACAAGTAAGATGGCGATGAGCCAATGAGATAAAAGGTCCATTATCCAATGACTGTCCCAGATATCTGAGTTCTTGGAAGGGGTAGACTGGATATGGGCCTAATATCTGGCATTTTTTTTGTACAAAGCGGGCACTCTCAAACTCAAGCTCACGTCCCCATGCTTGTCATCCAAAGATTTACCATTGCACCAAAATATCTGTTCAAAAATTCACGGCCATTAGAATCTTGACCAAAATGTGCATTTAACTATGTCTACAGCTCTAATGTTTGCCCTTTTTTAACAAACTGCCTCAATTTAAAATTTCCTGTTTATTTTAGAGTTCCTAAAGATGCTGATGCAGAAATTTGAGATAAATTGGAATCAAGAGTTCTGTGGCTTCACTGATTTGTAAATTTGAATGACATTAAGTTTTGGAAATGGTTGTGATGACTGCATGCTGCATCCTTTGCAGGAGTCTTGCCTCCCAGACATTTCCACTACCAACAGTTGGACCTCTTCAAATGCAACAGCAAGAAGTCATAGTAATGGAAAAGCTGCCCCTGCTGCTACAGTCTTTAACATGACAATCCCACCATCAGATCTCAAGTTCAAGAATGATCAAAGATCATCCCGTATGACTGGAGAAACTGAAACAGAATTTCTCAGTTCTGTGAAATCTAATATCCCTCAACCAGATCATTTTGACATGAGCCCACTTTTTGATCAAATGCAAGTAGAAGCCCTGCAACTGGATGCTAACATGGAAGGGAAAAATGTAGCAGACTTGCACTTTATATCTTATGACATAGTGATGCCCAATGGTTGCAGTACTTCACAGGGCATCTCACAGGAAGAAAGACCTACAACAGAGACTCAAGGGACATCATCATATAGTAAAGCTGCATCTGGAGTTTGCAGTGGCTATGCTGGGTTCTTGGAACCTGAGGAAATCTCAATTCCTTCTGTCAGTGCATCTTTTGTCCCATTTTATCGAGGCAGTCAGAGAATACAACTATTGCACAAAGATGTCCCCTTGCAGCTATGCTGTATGAAACTAAGAGTGCGCTTTGGAATAAGCGCAAAATTTCTCGACCATGCTGGCCGGCCTCGTTTGAGTATTGTAGTAGACCCATCACCTAGCCTATGTGAGGTTCTGGATGCCTGTGACCATCATGCACAAAGGTTGTCTGTGGAATCTGGTAGTGGTTCTGAATGGAGGCCTGTTGTGACTAGGAAGAATGGATTCTCAAATTCAACTGTTCGACTGCAGTAAGTTCTCATCTCCAATACTATTAATCTCTCTTTTTCAATTAAAAAATGTAGTGGTTCATTTACAAATATTAGAAAGTGGTAGAAGATGCACTTTTTTGAGGTGGAGGGTGGGGGTTGGCTTAATCTTCATTTATCCACCAAATGCCTAATATCACATGGTCAGTAGGGCATTTGGACTTTGGTCCATAGTCCCATCTAGTGATTCATCAATGAATATTGGCTACAGGGTGAATCCACCACCATTACAAGATGTCTTCCCTATACTTATAGATTTTAGCATTAATATTGAGTGGATAGATTACCAAAAGCCAAAAAAAAGCTAGGTAGGGGGTGTAAGATAAATATCAATCCTGCCGTAACTCTTACATGCTCATCCTATGCATGTACACACAGCCCACATGCATACTACATAGCATCTTTTTCTTGGGGTGGGGTGGGGTGTTGCTCATATTTCCTATCAGTATCTTTTTCTTTTAAACATAAAATGGGTGGAAAATTTTCGGGCTTAGATATTTGAGTTACATTTTTGCTCCTGCTGCTTCAAAAACTTTACTTTCATTGCCATTTACATAGGCTCAGTTTGGAAATAGTACAAATACAAATATGTAGAGTGCAAAACTTTATGTTTTTGTATTATGTTGTACGTATTTGCATTGTACATACTTGTATTTGTACTCCTTTCAAACTGAACCATAAAAACAAATTAGAAGGGGACGGAAAACCAAGGGGCACAAATAATAGATGAAATTAATCCAAAACCTTCTGTTCATGTTATAGAGAAATGAATGCAACTTTTACTTTTCGACTGTTTTTTTTTTCTCCTTAAGTAACTCACGACTTGCATTCCTGTTGTCTTGTTACTGTAGCATACCCACTGTACCGAATGGAGACATTGCCATCTATGGTACAGAGATTTACCAGAAAGAAGCTTCTGGCAATGCTCAAAGGCTTGTTTTTAGTAGATTCGATGCTGCAGAGCTCGATTCGTTTTCTCCAGGAACTCTAGTCGATGCTTTTTTCTCCTTGGAAGTGTATGATTACCAGCAGAATGCAGGCATTCGATTAGTGGCAAAAAAGTTGATTCTCAATTCGAAGTAGCCGGAGTTCAGGAAAATCCTCTGATTTCCTTATATGGAGCAGAGTTCTATTTATTACTGTAAATTTATGTAACACGAGCACTGTTTATAGTTGTGCATAAGGTTAAGTTCGAAATTGATTGTGTTTTAAGCTTTGCTCACATGTAAGAAAAAAACCATATGGTAGTCAATGTTATATATTCATTCATTCTTTAATTTCTTCCAGTTGATTTTTTTTTTTTTTTTTCTGGTTGTCACGTTTCATTATAGAGGTAGGATATAATACCTTAAATATTAGGGTAAAAGGCTTGTATATATCCTAAGTTTTCATCCTTGAGTTTTTCAAAATGACTTAAAGATACCTTATAGAAGACTGGCCCCTCTGGACTTAAACATACCTTGATCAATGAAACGTCAAAAGTGAATTCATTTAAAAATTTTAAAATTCTATTTTGCCCTTTTAACATATGAGAGTCATGAAACCTTATTGTCTGTTCATCTATTTATTACCATTTATTACCCTATATTTGTTGCTGAAACTAATCATCTTTTCCTTCTTGTATTTTGGGTTCTGTGTCTGCAATGGCAAGTAGATTTTGAGGATATTTCAAGTTCTCAACAGGAAGGAGAGGTATATAGTCCTGGATGGAGAGGTTAACTTTTGTAAAGTTGTAATGAGAGGTTATTAGTGAACGTGGAGTGCAATACTTAACCATGGAGAGTGACCGAAAAGTGGTATATAATCCTGGTGCTGAGAAGTTTGTTTCTTCAAACATTGACCCTCTACTCTCTGGTAATTGACGATGCCCAAATGGCATAAAATCATTCCTTAGGGGCACGAGCGGTTTGCTTTTACCAATATCAACTCTGCAATCATGCTTTAGGGCATCTATTCATTTACTTTATAATATCGTATAACAGTTTCTTTCTACTCCTCTCCTGTACTGTACAACCAAGAAGTTTGAACCATCAATTAATCTCCCATGTGAACAAGTTAGTCTGAACCACCAATCAAATAGAGGATGTTGCTGCAGCCTCAAAAATGAACAGATGCATCGTCTTTTGGTGGTAGTGCCAAGTAGCAACCTTCTATGGTGGGAATTGCAGGAGGATGGGGAGAGCATAGCACTGCAGTAGTGTTTTTATAACGAGGTTAAAGCATCAATCTATATCAATGGGTGGGTCTCATTGATGATCAGTGTTGAAGTCTCTTACCATCTCTCGTTAATTTGGGGGGGGCGAGAAGTGATATTCTGTGATACCCCTGGGGTTTGTATTCTTGTTTTTCTTTTTATTTTTTTTTGAAGATTTGAAAGAAAATAAAGGATAAAAGAGTCTTTACCCTAAATATTAAGTGCTGAGGTAGCCCTCCTTACGAGTTAGTAGGACGACGCAACCCATGGGGATGTTCCAAGGCTGAACATTTGAGTTGGAACTTCGTAGTTGGAAGTAATGACTCTCGTATATTTGGAAAAGTTTTTGCACTGGGTGCCAGCCAGAGTCCACCCTTCTTATATAGTTGGAAGTTGGAACTTGGAAGGACTCTAGTATAGTTCAAGAAAATCCGCACGTTCTGTTTTGGCTGTAGTCGATTAGGAAGCTTCCATGTGGTAAGGCCCTGGTGATTTATTGAGCTAGGGTTTTCATCCCCCGTTGGGCAGCTTGGGGTCTCTAACTGCAAACTGCTAAGCTCGTAGTTTTGAATACATGATTAACATCCATGCGTACGAAGATTTCCACTCGAACAATGGTTACGACGTGGCCATTTCATTCGTACATTTTACTCTTGTATATGTTTGTAAGCCCACATTAATTGGGCAGTGCCGAACAGTAAGTACCACTGAATCAGGTGGGTATGTTTTTTCATGTAAGACATTTTGCCATTACAATCACAAAGTTACGATCTTTGGCTTTTGATAAGGCATCCGAAACCAAATGGTACAGCATCATATCAAGTCTTCTTGGTCTTCAAGGGATCTCTTCCGAGCCTTCAAGTTAAGCTCAAGACTTTCAGGCAAAGGCGGTGTTCGTCCTCGACGGAATAGAACTGCTAGTGCCCTCATCTTGCGGCAAATATCGAAGACCTGAATTCACCGTAGAATGGTTTTACACTCTTACTACTAAGCATTCATTTAAGTGGCAGAGCTCAAAAAAAAAAAAAATGCTCCATTCCTTACCGAAGATGCCTCTATCTCTGCAACTCCCTCACAACCTTGTCCTCCTCCCTGTAGTAGGTCGCAATATCTGACCGCCTCATTCTCATCTTCAAATACCTGAAATGATTTATGGGAAAAGTGGATGAACAAATAGGCAAAGATGGCAACGACATGTTCCAAGTTTCCAGCTAATTTCTATGTGAAAGATATTTTTAATCTTTAAGTGGCCTATTTAATGAATCACATTCAATCATATATAGCATGTCTAGAGTCCCACATTACAGATTTAGCACAAAGGAAGAAACTGTTGTTGCTCAAGAAGTTCATCAGTATCTAAGGCAGCAACGACAATACAAACTCATAGCATGAATCTCAAGGTGATACCAAGATGGCAAATTTTTAAACACGGGAATAACCTAAACAAAGTAGGACATCATTGACTGGTTCATGTTGAATCCTGAATTTCAGATACATAAGTCGGTTATTTAGAAACCAGAGGAAGATTAGGAATGGAAGCATAATGACTTGAGTCTAGATTTCCTGCATTAACCAATCACTGAGTGGCAGGTGTCCAAGACTTGATGTAAACCTCAGTTACTCTCATATGTATGGGCTTTTTACACATATAATGGAATGCCTATCACATTGTGATTGATTAATGCAACAAGTACAGGAATTTCAGACTGATGATTTTGATACATGATTGGTATCTGAATACAGAAGGTTTCCTGCTACTAAAGTTTTTTTCTTAATTGTATTTTCCTGATACAGTAGGTGATCATTTAGAAACTAGAGAACTGAGGAAGGTTTAGGAATATGAAAGCAGGATAATTTTGACTCATAAAAAAAAAGGATAGATTTTGGCTTTTGGAATTCATATCTGAATTTGAAGGTTTTTGAACCTGAGCTTTATTTCTCTAAGGTAAAGGCATAAAGCTACTCCATCTAGAGTAACATATGCTCAACATCCTCTTTGGGATGCATGGTGACAAGAGCCACTGTTCACAAGGTTTCATAAGAACAATCATCAGATTGGAACAGCATTTTAATTTTTACATTTTTAGCTGACATATTCCCTTAGATGCCATTCACTGAATGGCAGAGCCTTATGGATCCCCATTTGATATGAAATAGACAGAGAAAAGACAGTACCATTCTTCAACACAAAAAGTGCTCCTCAATCAGATGTCAATCTGTTAATATATCTCAAAAAGTAAAAGAGAAAATAAAATCACTTACAAGCACTCCCTCCCTGATATCCTCCACAAGCATCTGAAACCTTGTCCCAGCTCTTGATTGCTTAGTCTTATTTCCTATTTCAGATCTCCATTTTCCTCCTCTGGAAAACAAGAGCCCAAGCTCTCTTTCAACTTCGCTGTAGAAAATGAAAACATCAGCTGTGAATAAGATAAGACTTGTCCAGGTGAACATAACTCACAAAACCAAATGAGACCTGCGGCTTCTTCTTGTTTTCATCGTGCATAACTGGTTTTCCCTATGGGTCAGCACATATACGGGCTTTGAAGCTTCTCTCCATGGGTTTGCCTCCAATACTAGAAATAAAGAAAACAGGTTATAGATGTTAAAGTAGAAACAAAATAAACATATAAATGTTTAAAATGTTTTCAGTTCCTTTATAGATCTGCATGCTAAGAGCCTGAGACATACTAAAATATCACCAAAGAGGAAAAGTGAACCCATACTCTTCACCAGTGGGAGAAATAGATAAAACCAACCATTACAAGGAGTCCGATAACATATCAAGCAAATGAATTTATTTATTGTTGGAGTTGTCAATACATGCTAAGGAAACTACAACATGGTATTGGGAGAAAAGGTAAATACACCAGTTTAACTGATTCAGTTATAGTACTGTTAAATTCAATCAGCAATAGATGATCCAATTGGAATAGAGTACACGATACCAAAAAAGAAGGCAGTGATTGCAGGAATGATGGTCCTTTTGAGGTAGACTCTGATGAGAGAGTAAGCCTCGAAATAGTCTGTAGGGCTAGTGTTCACTTTTCTTTCTTTTTCTGTTTTCTTTCTTTTTTTTCTTTTTTTTCTTTTTTTGTGTGTGTGGGTTGGGGGGGGGGGGTGGTTGACAAAATGAAAGAACAGAGGAATGTGTGAATTTTTCCATTAAATTTGTGAAACAAAAGAAAATGGCAATATTCCTCCATAACAAGATAACATGATCTGAAATCTTGATCTTCTGTTGTAAAGATTTTCTGGATGAAGGTATAAAAGAAGATGATTGCTGTTTTCTAGGTATACGTTAAAGCCATGCAGGGAATTTATTACAATTTACAAATATCATCTCTTCCACTGTCCCAACTCACCAAAAGACAAACACCCAACCACCCCCACCCTCTCTAAAAAGAAGAGGGACAGTAGGACATGCAATTCTCATAAATCCAAAAATAAATCTTTTTTATTGGTTCCTGCAATTCTCATAAATCCAAACTTAAAAATGATTTTTAGAATCACAAAATTCATCAGAATAAATTCCCTGACAAACGCAGCCTTAGTTTCCATAATTTATTCAAGATTTACCACAAATAACAGAAACATAAACAATAATTTTAGTGCTTAAATCCAGTACTCGGGGAGGGAAGCAAAGAGAAAGATATATAAATATATAGCAGAAAACAAGGTAGAAATTTAACTAAAATAATGGAATATAATGCAGTTAAAATAAATCCAGTCACTCCCAACTGCAAGCAGATCAACAGATTCGCCGAGCTCACATCATATGTAGCAATATGTCACCATAATTTTCATCGCATGCACCACAGGAACCACCATCTACCCCCCCCCCCCCCCCCCCCCCCCCCCGAAAAAAAAAAGAACAACAGATACCAATATCAAAGGATTGAAGGAGAAGTGTGGTACCGTCATAGCTGCTGCTATCGAATGTCTGTTGAAGGTGTCGACGCATATCGTAGGCTCGGGAAGAAACCTGCTTCACGAACTCATCGGACGTCCCTGGGATACTTCCGTCAAGGCGAAGCGCCTTTTCGAGATCCCCATCTCCATCCTCCGTCTCCGCCGTTCCTCCGGCACCACCCCCGCCGCCTGAACAGCAAGGGATTTCTCTTAGCCTCCTTCGAGAAGGCTCCGGAGAGAAGGGAAGGCTGAAGGAAGAACAGAGGGAAGGAAGACGGTTATTTTGGGGGCAAGAGGAGACAAGGATTCGCTTCCTCCGGTGTTGCCGGAAATGATTACTGGGAGGTAGCACGACCGAAGTGGAAACTGAAGAAAGAGATTCCATGCGATTATTGCTAGCTACACCGATACGTCACAACGAAGCAGATGCACAGAGAGAGAGAGAGAGAGAGAGACGATTCGAAGTAGTTTCTCTGTAACAAATACGCAAGAAGAAAGAAACGTGTCGCCTTCTAGTTGATTTTTTTTCTAGTGGGTCCATTTCGAGCCCCGGGAGCTCTGAACTCCATTTGGACACATTGGCTGGGTTAGAACTTAGAACCGGACGAGTCTAACACTCAAACCCACCACCAAATTATGGGCTCTGGGCCGGCCGGTCAAGGCCACTGGCTCATTAATTGAACAGTGGTGCTTTGTATACTGTTACTACATGGTTCTTTACATGTTCCAGCCTTGCAGCCCATATCCCAGTTGGCGGTCCAACCTAAGTCAAACATTAATGTCGAAACATTACATGGAGGGCTACGGGAGGCAATGGAGCCACACCTTGGCTGATCTGACGATGTCCTATAATACACAGATGATCTGGGAGATGTTCCCGATGTGCGGATGTAGTGTGTCATGGTCAGCATGTTGAAAGCGTATTGCGATCACTATAACCGAACGAAAAAGTAGAAGCTAAACTTGGAGGCCCTCTTATCAGAACCAGGTTTCGATCCTGGGACCTGTGGGTTATGGGCCCACCACGCTTCCGCTGCGCCACTCTGATTAGTTATTAAATTGATGATTTAGTATTCTTAAATAGTAGTTATACACGTGCGTCCACAGTAATTCTTTCGGATGCCTAAAATATTTCTCTAACCACGAAAGGAGAATCTTATGCGGCCAAATATGGTAATCCGGTCGTGGTGATATCCCTTGCCAGAATAGCTGGTGCAACGGCCGTAATCTGAACTCCGAAGAAGGGGACATTCTCTTCCCTCTCCCTATTTGCCGCCATTTTTGAGATAAGGGATATAATATACTCGAACGCCAAACTTGAAGAGAAAGGAATTCCAAAGAACAGAAGAAGGGAGATGCTTCTGCGAGGCGGAGCTCAAGAGCTCTCATCATCAGCTCTCGCTGTCACTACTACGGTCTCCCTCAAATCAAACCACACATTTACCTCCCCAATGCGCACAGCCATCTCTTCTTCGTTTAGGGTTATTCGCTCCCTCGCTCTCTCCTTCCCTCACTCCCACCGCCGCTTCATTCGAAATATCTTTGTATTTGAACCCTCACCCCTTACTGTTTCGTCTCACATTAAGAACACTCGCTTGTCCCCTTTTCTCGGTGCGCCAAGGCCGACTGCCTCGGTCGCTGCTTTCACTGCATCTGTCGAGCATTTGTCAAGAGAAGATGAGAGGGTCGGAGTGGAGGAGAATTGGAATTTCAATGAAGAAAGTGGAAATGAGTTCTCCGATTTCGATGCCAGCGCGGCCGCAAATGATTTGAAGCATCTGCCATCGCCATTCTTTGAGGTTAAGGAGCTGGAAGAGCTTCCAGAACAGTGGAGAAGATCGAAGCTGGCGTGGTTGTGTAAACAATTGCCGGCTCATAAGCATGCTACTTCGATTCGGATACTCAATGCTCAGAGGAAGTGGATTACTCAGGAAGATGCTACTTATATTGCCGTTCATTGTACGCGGATTCGCGAGAACGAGACTGCGTTCAGGGTCAGTAGCTTTTCTGTCTTACGCAAAATTCCATGTGTTCTACCTGTTTGTTTCTTTGCCAAGATGCACTCTTTTATCCTCTAATTTTCTCTCTTTTCTTTTCTTTTTTAATCTAGGCAAGCAGTTTTCTTGCCACCATATCATGCCATCATTAAAGAAGCATCTCAACAAAACTAGGAATTTTTGACATTCTTAGGCAATTTCATCCCAGTTGTGAAGACAACCATGGTCTAATAAACTGTTACATTCCTATTGCATTTCCGCTCACCCTTCAGTGGCTTCAAAAGATAGACTTGGAACTAGTGATGGTGGCACTGTAGTTTTCGTTTTCATACTATCTATTTATTCATGTTTTACTAATTAACTTTAATCGAATTGACACTATCGAGATGGAAGTGAAGATGAATTGGGTTAAAAGATCAGCTATTTCTTTAGCTGGTGGATTAGCTAAACAAGGGGTAGAAAGGGACTCAATGTTTTGGGCTAAATTGTAATTTTATTGTCTCTTCCTTTCCTTTTCTTTTCTTTTGATGGCTTAAGTTGTATTTGGAAGATAAGAGTGTTTGTCTTCCTCTTTGTAATTATTTTAATGATGAATTAATGAATTTGTTATTGATAAATAAAAAAGAATGAATTATCATTTGATCTACTTGGTGTTTACCTTAAAATCTTACATGAGATCATAAAAGTGGTCATCACCCTTTTTTACCATTGTATGTGTACCCTCTGTCATGTTCATGGTGCATCTTGATATTGCACATAATGGGAGAGAGTAATAACTAAGTTGCATGTCAGAATTTTGTATTTTTAATAATTGGATGGTCTAAGACCCATCATTTGTTACTTTTCCTTGTATTGATGGGCAAACTAGCGTTAGTATCTTATATCAGACAGCAATATGGCGGTGGTAATTATCGTAGCCATATGTCCAGCATACATGTCACTGTCCTTGAAACTCCATAAAGTTTACCAGGGTATGTACTGCTTTATGAATTCCACTATGGTGTGCTTGGGACGCCTAGTTGCCTGCTTTGCCAATTGGTAAGCACCTGGCTATGTACCTTTGTTACTAGTTTTGGATAATTTCAGATCTGGCCTGGTGCCAACATTGATGTTTTGTGCCGAACTGAATTGCTTCTTCATGTGTGCCTCCCCACTCTGTTCTCGTTGGTTGACCATTCCACCACTATTCTGAGATAGGAAATGGATGGATAGGTGATGCAGCTCCTAAAAATCAAATAACATCTATAAACTAAACCTTTCCTCCTATTTCTCACATCAGGAACTTTCTTAGTTAATTTACCAAATTCACAGCTATTGATGGAGACCTGGAAGCAAGGGAAAAGGTAACTAAGAAGAAATCAAGATTTGTCACATTCTTGAACCAATGACAATTTTGTATCTTTAAGGTCTTCTGATTTTGGTTTATTTGTTTAATTTTTCAAATTGGACTCTTGTGTTTTCATCCCTTAGAAGATTAGAGTGGTGGATAAAAACAGACACTGATTATGTAGGTGCAACAAAAGTTTTGGTGTGAAATGGTTGACACTGCTACTTACCTTATTAATAGGTTGCTTTATTGTCTTCTTTAGCTCAATATACTATATTAACCTGTGCATCCTGATTGTCCCTTATCATTCAAAGCGTTTGGATGTATTTGTTTTGCTTATATTCTTGGTCCACATCATTCAAATGTTGATTCTAAATCTAATTCATTCTGCATTTCTTGGCTATTCTCCTAAACGGGTACAAAATGTATGAGATTGGGATGTAGGAGCAAAAGAGTCAAAATTGGAATTGTTGGATTTTTATTTTTTATAAGGGTATTTTGGCCTTTCTACACTGTATGATAGGTCCAAGCTGTTAGTTTGATTGGGTCAGTATCCTGTCTACCCCTCCCAAGGCACTAGATAACCGGGACCTAATTTGGGTGGTCCAGCCTTCCAAGGATTGAAACTGGGAAGACAGATGAATGTGAAATTAACATTGGTTAATTGACAAACAAGGCAATGTGGAAGTATTGGCAAGAAATCAAGGAGATAAATTGGTTGGCTTATGCAAGGTGCCAACCAGCTGTTCTTCTGCTGGTCGTAGTGGAGACTTGGGATCAAATCCCGCCTGCACCTGGGTTGGGGGGCTTATGGGTTGGGGGATGGACTACCCCCCGTTGTGTAGCCCTTCAAAAGATATCAAAAAAAGAAAAATTGGTTGGCTTATAGATGGGCATATAGATAAGAAAACACGATGGCTAAATGGCTAATGGCTTGGCCAAACAAGGGATGAGTAGGGGATATCTGTCCTATTTGTGGGGAAGTCAAGCTTTGTATATGCAAGTGGTTAGGTGGTTTCCCATCCTAACAAACAAATCAGTTGTAGATATTAGTTCATATTTAATAAAGTTTCTGTTGCATATCATTGAAAAGAAAAAAAATTCAGGTATTGGCCTTTTACTTGTTTCTATTTTTTTAGCATCTTACAAATAGGATTAGTCATTTTAAAGGGTCAAATGTTTTTGTACTTTGTAGAATCTTAATTTTTTAAAACTTTGAAAAGTTGAAGTGCAATCATATCATCATTTTTCTTTCACCCAATACCATTTTTGAGTGTTAAAAGTTGAACTTTTTACATGATTTTGGTGTAATAAGCAATGAGTTATCTACAAGACCATGATCTTTTAAATCTAAAGTTTTTTGAGGGAGTCTTGGAAGGCTATTATTCCTGGGATTATGTGATAGTAGGAAGACAGAAAAAAGTGTATCTATAAAGATAAGGTTTCCTCTTTTGGAGCTTTGCAGGGAGAGCTTATCTTTTGAAATTCTTTGGTCCCTGCAACAAAGGAATTTAGAGGTGTACCTCCCATTGACGTGCAAAGGAACCTTGTGGAATCCTTATATGTTATATCTTCCCCAGGCATCTTCTTGCTGGAATTAACCCAATCCTCCTATTGAAAGTAAGAGTGATGTAGAGGTTAAGAAATATCCCCCCATTCCAACATCACCTCATGTACAGGTTTCCTCCTATGGTATCTGGTAACATATTTTGAGAAAATTAGCCTTGGATTGTTACAGTTGATAAAATACTGATTTTTGTTGTGCCTTTGAGTTTTAGGGGAGAAGAGTGGGGACTTACATCAGATATGGTTTTGGAGGGGCTTTAATTGAATTTTTTTTCTGTACACTCAAATGTATATTAGTTTAGTGGCATGTGCAAAGGGGGTCAGTCTAGGGGACGTTTTGGGGTTACAAATTTGTAACTTGGATGAAATGTTTTGTCTGGTATGGTGTGTTTGTAGTAGGTGTTGCCTTAACACCTCAATAGGCTGTATACTTTTTCCTTTTAATGAAATTCTTTTAAAGAGGAAGAACTGGATGTTGTCATTTTTTCTGGGTTCTGTATTGGCACTTAATAATTTGGTTTTGCTTATTATTTCTTACTATTCCTTTTCTCTGTTATTATAATACAAGGAAAACCATCATTTTTATGGTCTTTGGATCTTGTATCCTAGCTTGTCTTGAGCTTCTTTTTCCTCATAGAGAATGGTTTTGCAATTACCTTTTCTCAAATAGAACAACTCTTCTCTTGTTTCAGGTGTATAAATGGATGACCAAGCAGCACTGGTTTCGTTTTGACTTTGCCCTCGCTACTAAAATTGCAGATTACCTGGGAAAGGAGCGAAAATTTTCAAAATGTCGAGAGATATTTGATGACATAATCAATCAGGGTAAAGTGCCTAGTGAATCTACTTTTCATATTCTGACTGTTGCATATCTTAGCGCTCCAGTTCAAGGTTCACTGGAGGAAGCATGTGGCATTTATAACCGCATGATTCAGTTAGGTGGTTACAAGCCCCGCCTTAGCTTGCACAATTCTCTCTTTAGAGCACTTGTCAGCAAACCTGGTGGCTCATCAAAACTGTATCTCAAGCAGGCAGAGTTCATTTTCCATAACTTGGTAACATCTGGACTCGAGATACACAAGGATATTTATGCAGGCTTGATTTGGCTCCATAGTTATCAGGACAGAATAGATAGAGAAAGAATTAGATCACTGAGGGAGGAGATGAGGTCTGTGGGAATTCAAGAGGGTAGGGATGTGCTTCTCTCCATCTTGAGAGCTTGTTCCAGAGAAGGAGACACTGAGGAGGCTGAACGGACATGGCTTAAGCTGCTGGAGTCTGATTGTGGTATTCCTTCCCAAGCCTTTGTTTATCGGATGGAAGTCTATGCAAAGGTTGGAGAACCTATGAAATCATTGGAGATATTCAGGGGGATGCAGGAATGCTTGGAATCCACTAGTGTAGTGGCATATCATAAAATCATAGAGGTCATGTCTAAAGCCCAAGAAATGGAAATTGCTGAAACTATTATGAGTGAGTTCCTAGATAGTGGTCTTAAGCCCCTTATGCCATCTTTTATTGATTTAATGAGTATGTACTTCAATTTGAACTTGCATGGTAAACTTGAGTCAACTTTCTCACAGTGCATTGAGAAATGCCATCCCAACCGTACCATTTACAATATATACTTGGATTCTCTGGTGAAAAGTGGTCATATTGACAAGGCTGAGGACATCTTTAGTAAAATGAACAATGATGGGACAATTGGTGTTAACTCTCGATCATGCAATACCATTCTGGCTGGGCATCTCTCTTCTGGAGACTACATAAAAGCAGAAAAAATTTATGATTTGATGTGCCAGAAGAAATATGACATTGATTCTTCATTAATGGAAAAACTTGAGTATATTTTGAGCTTGAAAAGAAAGGTGATTAAGAAGCCCATAAGCCTCAAGCTAACTAAAGAACAAAGGGAGATTCTGGTGGGTTTGCTATTGGGCGGTTTATGTATAGAAACAGATGAGGAGAGGAGGAACCATGCAATCCATTTTGAGTTCAATGAAAACTCTGATGTTCATTCTGTTTTGAGGAGACATATACATGACCAGTATCACGAGTGGTTAAATTCTCCTGGTATGCCAAATGATGAAGAAAATTTACCATTTCGGTTCTCTACAATTAGACACAGTTACTTTGGCTTCTATGCAGATCAGTTCTGGCCGAAAGGTCAACCTGTGATTCCAAAGCTAATACACCGGTGGTTGTCCCCACGTGTTCTAGCATATTGGTATATGCATGGGGGCCAGAGAATGGCCTCAGGGGATATTTTGCTGAAGCTAAAGAGTGCAACTCGTGAAGATGTTGAGAGAGTTGTCAAGACATTGAAAACAAAATCACTGGACTGCAGGGTTAAGAGAAAGGGGAGAGTATTTTGGATTGGCTTCTTTGGAAGCAATGCTGTGTGGTTTTGGAAACTGACAGAACCTTACATTTTGGATGGCCTGAAAGAACTTCTAAAACCAGGCCATCCTTTGGAAAAGGGTGTGACAGAAGACCAAAACATAAACTTCGATAGTGATTCTGATTTTGATGATAGGGCTTCTAATTTCAGGGACAGTGATAATCAATAGGACAGCCAAGATTGGGCATACATGCTAACCCAAGTGTACACTTTGTTTATATGGTTTGTGTTGAAGACCAGTTAAAACAGTTTTTGATGATTCCAGGGCTTCTATCAGTTCATAGCGGCAGGCTTTGAGCATAATTATTTAATTGCCTATAGGGTAACTTTGTTATCCAGTTATATTAATGGGTAGAGAGCCGTTGTATCAGATCCATCTTAGATTTGTTTACTTAATTACAAGAATGTGATTCCATTGCGATATTTAAATGCTTGTGTCTTATGTACCATCCATATCATCCATTTCAACCAGGATTTCCTTGTTAAATTATGGAATATGGTGCCTTGGGACCCCCATGAATCATGAATGCAATGTTTTCAAAACTTCGTCTAGTGGACGGAATCACCAAACCTGACGCTGACGGTGTTATTGCAGGAAAGCATTTGAAATGCCCGCTTAAATGGTAATTTAAACACTTTTTCTCTATTTCTTTATGGTTGCTTTTCTGAGCGATGTTACTATCTAAGTTGGGTTTGGACCATAAAGGAGAACCAGATTAGATATTGATGTTGCCTTCTCAATTGGGTGTCAGATGCAGCGATGTTTTCGTCTGGGCTTTTCCAATTGATTGGCCCGGTCTCTGATGTTCAACTGCCTGACACAGCAGATAACCCTGACATCAGGAGCAGCTAAGCCACTTATAAAGCCGCAATGCGCACATCATAGACTCTCAAGGTAGAGTGTGCAAAAAGTTCTTTTCCAGCCATCGAAGTTTTCCCTTTTTTTTTTTCGGAGAATACGGAGACACACGATGCAGAATTCTGAATTCCAGCCCCCTCTACAACTAGCACTCTCCCCCTATAAATCACATCCTGTCCGTGAATTTGGTATCAATTCATGGTCACATGCATTCCCCCTCTACTTTGCGCCTAGAATTCACGGTAAGGATGCATTCCACCTGTACTTTTCCCTTTTTTTGGTAAAGTTTTTAAACTATTTCTACTATTTAGTTAATTTACAAACTTACTGTCTAAATATTGTATTAAACTATTTTTATTGTTTTTGACAATTTATTAGCTCTACTCCTATCGTTAGTGTTCGTTAATATTGTCAAAATCCATACACACGTGATACTATGTAATGTTTAATTTTTTTAAAAGTCAATATTACCCTCGACCACTTCCACTCGACGAATCGGCAGGACATGGCACCAGCACCCCCTCATCCCCTTCCAGCACTGTTGTTGTGCGATCTGACCACTCCCAGCTGAAGGGTAATCTAGCTTCTAATCAAGCAGCGAGCTGGATCTATTTGCAAGACAGTGGATCAGAAAACCTAGGGTTGTTAACCCGGCGAGTTCACTCCGATGCTTAAGTTAGTACGCTATAATGCGAGTTGAATGCTTGAGAGTTTGAGAGCTTGAGAGCTAAAGAGCTAGAGAGTAGAGTAATCACACGTACCTTTGCTCTGAGGTTCCCGCCTTTATATACTAGAGTAGTCGTGGATCTCACGAAAGAGCTCTAGGATCTTTACGGTGTGTAGATAGGGTTCATTTCGCTTTCGAATGAGCACTACATAGATAAGGCTTATCGTTTCACTTCTGACTTTGGCGGAGCTGGGATGAGTCCTTATCGTGATCTCGGAAAAGTCGGGGTCTGTTAGCTCATCGTGATCTCGAGAGATTCGGGATCCGTTGGAGAGACCTCTGGAGTCGGTTACGTGGCGATTCGGGTTGTTAGCCTCAAGCTGATACTTCGATTCTTTAGTTCCAAATTGGATTGGATGTCGAGGTGCCTCGACGTCGAGGTGAGTTTTGCACCGAGGTTGCTGAATACTCGAGCTCAAATGTTGCGAACTAGGCTTGTTAGACTGAGCTGTCATTCCTTAGTCAAGTCGTGTCCACATGTCCCCTTCTCGCTAGGTCGGGCCAAATCACCCTTCATCAATTGCCCCCCACTCCCCGAGCCAGGGGTCTCAACCCGGTGTGGGGAGTTCATGGCGAGTCTAGGTGGATTTGGCATGAGGTATAGGCAGCTTGATGGGCGAATCATTGGTTGGACCTGTTCGACCACTCGGCTCAACCAGGAATAACCCAGGTCGTGTCTAAGTTGCGCACGAACGTCACGTCGTTTTATAAACTCTACGAACGTCAAACACGCGCTAAATCGATTTCAACCTCGAGGGTTGTGAAATTGGTTTTCCTAGGAGTCGTTGGATCATGTTGATCTCGATCATTGATCCCCGGATACACTGGCTATAAATAGGGGCCAAGGGGCTCATTTCCTTCACCACAAGTCTACGAATCCGCAATCTGAGGTCGCGCTCAAGTCTTTCAGTTCGGTGTCTTTCCGATGTCGCCTTCCTTTCTTCGGTCTTTCTTTTGGTGAGTCCTCCTTTGCTTTTTCTTTTCGATTCCGTGTCTTTCTAGCATGTCTAGTTTTAGTTCTGATAGTCTCTTAGACGAGAGCGGTGAATCCGTTGGAACCGAGGTGGGTACCTCTGCTCGGGCCGTAGATCCTCATCCTACTGAGGAGGTTACTTCAGGCCAGAATGCGGTCCACGGTCCTCCCGAGGTGAACTCACCTCGGCGGGAGCGAGAGGCCTCAGGTAACTTGGCTTCCACCTCACATCGAGGTCGGCTGCCGGATAACTTTGGCCCGTCAACAATGAAGGCGGACAGGCTCCTAACCCTAGTAGCCCAGTACAGACTTCCCAACAACCTCGTCTATAGCATCCCTTTAGGTAACTTCCCTTGGGATCACGGTCACGATGAAATCGTGATCTTCGAGGAACAACTCGCAGTTGGTCTTCGCCTTCCACTTCACCCTCTTATAGTCGAGATCATAAAATTGTTCAATATCACCATAGATCAGTTACACCCAAACTCCATCCGCAATGTCGTAGGGACCATTTCACTTTTCCACGACTACAATCTTCCTCTTGACCTCAACGTTTTTTCTTCTATCCTTTCCATAAAGAAGAATTCGTCGTGTGTTATGCCCGAGCACAAGCGAACTTACTATCTGCCACCTCGTCCTGGCTTCAAACTTTTGCACGAGCTCCCGAACAAAGTCTCGGCCTGGAAGAGAAGCTATTTCGTGGTCCGCAACACTGAGGGGTGGCCTTTCCCGACTCATTGGAGGGCAACCATCCAGGACCCCAGTGTTAGGTTGGACCTGAAGACAAGGGAGGTGCTCCAATCTTGGGCGGAGCTCGGCCAGAAGTTTGAAGACTTCATGACCGAGGAGAAGCTCGTGCAGGCCAGTCTAAGTCCTAGTAGGTCGTTGTTTGCTATATTTTCTCTTTGTTTTACTTCGGTATTGTATCTGACAGCTTGTTTTTTCATCGCAGGTATCATGGACATCCCCGCCAACGAACTCTTCGGGTGCATGAAGAAGGGGAAGAAGAAGAGAGCCACCAAGAGGGCTCGTGTTGAGCATCCACCAGCTGCCGTTCCTGAGCCCGAGCAGCCAACTGCCGATCAGCCTCCAATAATAGATTTGGTCAAAGAGGACTCGGGCAAGCCCTCCCCACCCTGCGTGCCCGAGGAGGCTATGTCTTCGGAGCCCATCCCGACAGCCACCGCTTCTTTGGGCAGCGATGACACAGTTCGGAGTATCTTGTCTCCGAAATTCGGCCTTCTCAAGAGCAAGGGCGAGGTATTTGTTGAGGAGGTTGCTAGTTGGGCTGAACTACCAGTTGCTCAGCTCGGAGCCCGAGCGGCTACTCACTGCATGATGGTAAGTTCTCGGGCATGTCTTCTTCAATCTGTCTTATACTTGGATTTTTGTATACTGACGCTTGTTTTCTTCTCTTGGCAAGTGAATTCCACCATCCACGCCTTGGCTTATCAGTCCGAGGTGAACTTGAAACGGGCCCTCGGAGCCAACGAGTCTTCCCAGAAAGCTCACGCCGAGATGAACTTAGCCCGCAACGAGAATAACCAGTTGAAGAACGATGCACAGGCTAAGAAGGGGCTGCTCACATTGCTGATGTCGGAGAAGAAGGAGCTCGAGGAGCGTGAGGCGGTCTTGAAGAGGGAGCGAGAGGAGCGAGAGGCGACATTGAAGAGGGAGGTGGAGAACCTTGAGGCTCATGTGAAGGAGCGAGCCGAGCTACTTCTTTAGGCAATGGAGGAGGCCAAGGCTAAGGCTATCGAGGAGTACAAGTCCTCAACGGAGTACCAGAAAGAGATGGTCAAGGTAGGGACGGCGAACTACCGCAAAGGATTCAAACTTAGCAGGTGGCTGATCCGACGTCAGTTCCCCTAGCTCGACCTCAGTGTCATAACCACGCGTAGGATCGCGCCACAGGTCGCTCCGCCGCAAGAACCTCAGATCTTTCCTTGCCCTTGGACTTGCGTACAGGCTCTATTTTGACTATCTCGTGGGTGATTTGTCCAAGAGATCACCAAACTCTCCTTTACTCTCTTTCTTAATTGAATATTCAATATCTTCATTCAATAATGGCATCTCCTTAAATAGGAGATTACAAGAGGAGGGTTCCTTGTTGGTTTTGGCTAGGTTAGTCCTAAACGGACTCAAACTCCTACTTCTATTTAGACTA